TGCATTAGGTACGATATATGAGTACTTAATTTAATTTTAAACCATCAACATTAAAAAAAAATTTTTTTTTGACATTTTAAATTCTGAGTGGAGCGATGAACATATTGACCTTAATGGCATGTTTTATAAAAAGAAGTTTGTAATTGTCATCTCTTTTTAAAGCAGTAAAAATGCTTCGATTTTCAATTTCAGCGTCTTTTCTTTTAGGAAAGTGAATCTAGTCGGTAATTTGGATGGTCATGAAAATAAGTTACGTACTCACATATTAAAGTTTATATTTTATTATATTATTTACATTAAATTATAAATAATACAATTCCAAAAACAAAAAGTCTATTATTATTAATTATTATAATTTATAATATATTGCCGGCCCTGTCATAATGTAATTTCCCGCTCAGAAATTTTTAGCCAWTCCGCTACTGAATGAATTTATTATAACGTACGTTTGGCCAGCCCCCCTCCTCCCCCAAGGAAAATCTAAAAACAAATTATACAGATATTTAGCACGTAATTAAGTTTAGAAAAAAATTTAACTACAGAAGTGTGTATAACCTAAAAATAGTCTAAATTAATAAAAAATCTTTAAAAAAACCTTAGTAAAACACCTGTAGTTAATAAAAAATAATCTATTTTTAATAAACAATCTATATTAAATAAAAAAATCTTGATTGAATTAAACAAATCTAAATAGAAATAAAAATGATTAACTAATACAATTAAAAATAAAAATGAATCAAGAATGATTAAAAATATAAAAAAAACTTAGTTAATTATTATTTTTATGAATTATTAACATACATAATTGTAATACGTATTTCTCAATATTATTAAACACATTTCAAAATGTGTAACTCCTTACTTAYTATGTAAAATTAAAACAGATTTATGGTATTTAAATTTTGTTAAAAATACTTTTAAAAAGTATTCAGAATATTTAAAAAATACTTTAACACGTATTTTATTACAAATATGTATTTGAATACTTTACAAGACTGAATAGTTATATAAATGTATATGTACCTCCATGAATTTTTTTGTTTTTCAAGAGGAAGGAAGGTCGTGCAAATTTTCAAACTAGGCGTGCGAATTCGCGCGAATTACCTACTAAATATCTGTATAGTTTGTTTATAGATTTTCCTTTGGTGGTGGGATGGCTGTCCAAACGTACGTTATATTATACTATATGATAATAATATTGTAACACACTTCATTTTTGATCATTTATTGGTTCGAAATTTATTGTTGTAAAAATGCATAGAATATAATATTTAGTAGAGAAGGAAGTGAGTAAGAACCCCCTTTGGATTTCTGGTTGTAATGTTTTTGAGGGAATTGCCTGTAGGTACTTTATTATTTTATTTATATTCATATACCTATGACCTTAAAATAAATGTTGTTACAGTAATATAAAGAATGAAAAATAAATTATATTCTAAATAATGTTAAAAATCATAATATTATAGGCCATAATATTTAATATCGTTTGTGAATCACTGTATCGTAAATTGGTAAATGTCGTTCGTTTTTGTTAAACAGTTGTGCATCGTTCAATGTTTGAATTATAAATTATCGTTTTCACATTTCCCATTAACCTTACGTAAATTACTGAAATTACATAATTTGCACATCAGCGTGTTTAACAATATAACTGGAACTTGAAAGAGATTAAGAGTAGTCATTACGCAAGTGACTTTCAGCTTAAAATTGTTTGCTCGTAATTTCATTTTTCAGGTATTGTGTAGATATACTAGGTTGGTATTAATATTAAAAATATAAACATGTACGTATATATATATATAACAATGGTTAACGCATAGATTTTTTGTTGCAATATAAACCTAAATAATTCTTGTTATTATATTTAAAATTTAATTGAATCAGGCAATTTATTTTTAATTTTATATATTATATACATATAAATATTAATTTTTCTATCATGTGAATTTTATGAATAAATGTTGAATTTTTAAGTTCAACTTGAATTTGGCGTTAAAAGTTCTATTAATATAAGTATATTATGTATAACTTATGTATTTATTTATATTTTTCAATATTTTTATCTTGTGTTATTTTCGATATTGTGTATCATTATACAATGTGCAAACCACGATTTAAGGTATCTTAAAAACTTWGACCAGCGTAATAACAATGGGATTAMCAGCTATATAATAGATATACGTCGCAGATAGTAATAATAGTAACATAATATTATAAATAAGTTATTAGGTTACAACTTAACACATTTGTATTATCTTGATCTAATCCATTGTCTTTGATGTTATTGCATGAATAATCCACTAAATTCATTCGTCTGGCATTCCATTATAATATAATTTTCGAACATTTCGCCAGGAGGGCTTTTTTAAATTTAAAATTTTTTTCGGTCAAACATTAGTGCGCCATTAATGTGAAATTGAGTGACTTTTTCCAGATTTTGTGCAACGCTGGTTTAATCATAAATTAAAAAATAAAGAAGGAAGCTAGATAAATGTTCCCTAGTCCCCCTCTCGGAAAAAATAACAATTTTCAAATTTTTTTTATTGCCAACAGTGCGCCATTAGTTTGAATTTGTGCGAAACCCGTTATACTCGGAAAATCAGTTTTTCGTTTTTGGCATTTTTCCGAGAGGGAGGCTGGCGAAATGTTCGTATATAATTTATAGTTTGTCCTTCGTGCGTCGTGCCACAGTCGCACTCTTTAATATCTGTTTAAATTTAAACATCACCTATCCATTTTGTACCAGTAGACAATTTAGTACAAACTACTCGTGCCTAGTTCCTTAAACTCTGTTTTTTACAACCAAGTTCTTATTTGTTATAGAAGAGTTGATCTTTTCATGATTTAGCATATCATTCTGTAACCGATTACATCGTTGTTAAAATGTGTATATAATATTAATATATCGTTTTATGATATTAAATAATAATTTAATCGGAAATAACTAATATCGCTTCTATAAAATAATATGRTCATACCACTCATACCTAGTAAAGATTCTGAGTGGACCGAGGATATATTTGATATTGTATATTCTTGGAAAGGAATGTTTAGGGTAGACGGAATTTATATTATAGTATCTAATTTTCATAATCTTCTAAAAGTTCTACAAAAATTGGACATTGGACTAGTGATCTACTTTTGAAAGGAAACTTAAAATTGTTAGAAATTGTTTAAAAAATTACGATGAATTATCGAAAACTATAAAATTGGAATTTACAAGTCGAATTTAAAATTTTGTTGAACAATAAAAATATCTGTATGAGGTATTTAATAATAAAAAAATAAAAAAATTATATACAATAATTTAATAATGTTAACGTAAATATACAAATCGCCCATAATGTTAGTGATTTCCACAGTTTTTTTAATCGTTTAACTACGGYAAATACTTTATTATTTTGTTCAAAAGAATTTTGTATATACATTATGTATATTCGCTTTTACATGTACCTATGTCATGCAGGCCCGTCGCTAGGGTACAAGCAAGCCATGCGTTGCTTTAGGGCGGCATAACATTTAAAAAAATTGAGGCGGCAAATTGTAATATTAAATTTCCAAAAAGGACAGAAATTTAATTATTATTTTTATTCGCTTTAGGGCGGAAAATGTCTTACGACGGGCCTGATGTCATGTTGCTGATGCTAAATAATGAAACTTCAGTTATACGTTAGATAACGTTGTATGATATGTTTTTAATTTTCTCTGTGGCATCCTATTGATATCCTCAAATTTGTCAGTTGTCATTTGTCATAAGGTACCTATTACATAACAACATACATATAGGAATGAGTTATTATAAGTTATAACTCGTTATTAATGTGTTATGGGAGAGCAAAGGCAGCAGCGGATTGGCCCAYGGGGATACCGGGAATGTTTCCGGTGGTCCAATCCTTTTATTAAAACTCAGGGCCTTTGTATATACTTGGATTAAAAATGAATTGTTTAATTATTTGATTATATTTTAACTGCGTGTCTACGATGTTTGTTGTCGTGTATTCGTATTGTATCAACCGTATCACGATTTTGAATGCCATTTTGGCTGCATTAAATATTACACATGAGTACTTATTACTACTTAATCTTACCTTTAACCGTCAACAATTTAATACAATTTGTTTTAATATTTTATATTCTGAGCGCTCCGATGCCGATCGGATGGACATATCGATTTTATAATGTTGTGTGTTTAAAAAAGTGATGACGGTTACACATTTGTGTTTGTTAAAATTTTTAATTCGATATTTTAATTTAGAAACTAGTTTTTAAGCGTGTAAAATATTACAATTTTAAAATGCTCATACTCACTTCAAAATTAAAATATCGAAAAAAACACTCAACCAACCACAAATTATGTTGTTAGATACCTTTAAGTTTAAAATAGGTAAAATTAATTATAACATTTTAAAACTAACTATTAAAGCTAAATGCGAACTACTGAAAACTAACTTAAATAAGCTATGTTTCACACTTTTAAAGCCGGAGACAAGACATGCAGGTTAAACGTCCTCGGCCGTTGCCCTAAACAGGATTACARTTTTAATTACAGACAAATAGTATTTAACTTAGAATTAAAATTAGTAGTTAGCTTATCACTGAATATTTAAAATAATCATTACAAGTTATACTAAACTTGTTTTTTTTTCAGTTTACTTGGTCCGTGTAATTTATATTTGTGTGCAATGTAAATTCAATTCGGTAGTGTTTGTTGCAATTTCCATATTTTTATTAGGAAAAGAAAACAAGTTTGGTGTTATATTTATCTAACCTTGAATTTAACCTAACTATTTTTTTTTCAATTAAGTTTTTATATTATTCAGAAATCAAGCTTAATTGTTAGTTGTTACTATTAACAATTGTAGAAAACTATAAAAATATTATTGCAATTTATACCTTTATTTAAAAAGCCTATAATATAATAATAATCTAATATATCTCTAATATTATAGCTTTTATTTAATATATATTAAAATTGAATTGTAAAACTTGTTTATTTACAGTGTGTAAAAGCATATGTGGAGTTTGAAATCAACCAAGGTGCATACAATATATCTTGTCCAGATGCTCAATGTCCTAAGCTAGGCATAATTCAGTTAGAAGAAATAGAAGCATTAGTCAGCATTGATGAAATTGAAAAACATCAAAGATACAGACTTAATAAAGGTAAATTAAAATGCATTATAAATTTACAAAATTTAAGAATTAATTGTAATTATCAATTTTAATGTATATTAAAACTCTAATGACATGCGTCATGCATTTATAGACTGGATGGATATCTTTTTTTATTAGCTTTTAGTACATTAACTATTAAAGCTCAACAATCAACTTATTTATACAGATTAGTGTAGATGTATATAGCAAAGCTATACCACAATATGTCTCTTTTATACTTTATTATATTTACTATGAATTAATTTCATATATAAGGATATTAAAATATAAAATACTAAATAAATATTTTTAATTTAATAAAAACAATATTGTCAATGTGTAAACTAGAGGTTTTTAATATTTTTTTATTAATATAACTTAACAACTTATATTGCATGGATTTATGATTTGATGAATTAATATAAACAATATTTTAGCAATCTAAATATCAGTAGTAAATGTTGAACAGATAATTTACAATTGTATTAGATATTCGTATCATAAGAAAAAATKTTCTATACTAAATCAGTCGCTCCAGTGGTTCATAGGTGGTTAGGRTGGTTGTGGGTGGGAGTTGGATATGATTGTRATGTATAAAGACAGTTCATGTAAATTGTAAGGAGAAATAAAATATAAATATTCCTGAATATCAAAAATCCATGCGAATACGCAGTTTAGCCGGGTGTCTCTGGGACCGTGAGTATCAATTTTTGTACTTTTCCCCACCTACAATAATTGAGTTCTATTAATTTTTTTTCTTTTTATATATATTTCTCACTTTAAACCCAATGGCCCATGTTGCCGAGGGTATCATTAATAAAAAAAAAAAAAAATGAGTTCAGCACCACTGTACAGAGCAGTATATTATTATAGTAAAATTGTATTTAAAAAAATAAAAAAAATACGTATATGAATGCTTAAGGATTTATGTATTTTAGTTTTTTTATTTATACATGAACATAATTATTTAATACTTGGCTGTTAGATTTTTCTTAAATATACAAAACAACTTAAGATATTATTTTTAATATAATATTCATTACACTTAAATTGATTAATTATAATTATAATTTATTCCAGCCAGGCTTCTAACTACCAGTAACTTATTCTTCTTGAAGTTCCTATCCGTTTCAGATGTTGTGGAAATCATATTAAATATTGCTTCTCTTTCTAAGGATGAACGAAATAGTTCAATTGATGTTGTAACTAATGTTGTAACTAATCTAGTTACCAATTTCCTTAAATTTGTTTACTGAAAAATTGACTGAGTATCTATATTTTTTACTTTAAACTTTAGATTAAGAATTTTTCTTTTAAGAACTTCTCACATAGATATTATAATATATAGTCTGAAAAGGATTTACACAATTGCTGCTGCTAGGAAAATTTTATTTTGCTGCCTCATTAAACTAAACTTATCAATGATAAAACATATTTTTAAGTACTTATTTAACATAACTGCTACAAAAAATAAATCTTAAAGACGGATACTAAACAATAATTATTGGTTATGTATATAAACTATCCTGATTAAGAAAATAGTACACCAATACAATATTAATTAAAATATAACCTATCACCATTCTTTTAAATAAATTATTATATACATAATATAATTGGGTTTGGAGATTCTTTAAACAAATGAATGTGTTTAATAAAATTTAAATTATATTATCATAAAAAATAACAGCAAATAATCAAACTTAAAAATGCATGCTTATTATGCGGTTAATTTTTGTTATTCTATTTGGAAATAAAAAGAGATCAAAAATGTAATAGTTTATCAGTTCATGTTATTATATAACATTTTTATTTGCCATCTTTTAGAATAATCTCACCTTTCATTACAAAATCTAAAAAACCTAGTATTCCCAAAAAGGTTAGATTATTATGATAGGCATTTCATAGGATTTTTATTATATTTTAATTTAAAAGCGAGTAATGAGTATTTTAAGGTGTACAATCGGTTTACAATTTTAAAATGCTTATAATTTGTTTTAAAATTAAAATTAAATAAAAATTATCTATCATTAAAATCTTACCTTTAAATTTTATAAGAGGTCTATCCACTTTAATTTTTAAACTAAAGGAGCTAAATGTGATGTATTGAGTGTAAAATTTGGTATGTTACACTTTGTAAGACAAAAACAACAAATATCAGTATACATCCCCTTAAGATTTTTTCATTGTTTTATCCAATTGGAAAATCCCTTTTTAATTGAAATTTTTGTTTTGATATTCCATCAGAACAAAGCTTTTAATCCTTATATTATAATATTTAATGCATAGGCGCAACTATAAGACATTTTTCTGGGAGGGAGGAGAGGCCAGAATTGTATTAGCAACACAAACACTGATAATTAATATTTTAAACTAAAATATAATTAAAAGACTGGAATGGGGAGCTAAGTTTGCTACCATAATTGTGCCTATGATATTTTAATTTATTGATTTATTTTAAAAGTGTATAAATTGATTGCTTGAAATAATTATGAAAATAAAAATATTAATGAAATGCTTTAATCTTAATAATATGATATATATCATATTATATTATATGAATTAATTTAAAATGTTATTATTGTTATTATTATTAATTTAATTTATTTAGGATCCAACATTTAAAAATTTTGCTGTGTATAATGTGCAGATGTTAGATTATTTATATCGGGCTAATTTTATGTCAATACTCCATCATGTTGTCCTTGTTGAAAACTTTTTTTAATTAACACAATGAAAATTATTACTTAATTATAATTGTTTAAATTACATAATCTTAGAATAAACAACTTTAATTTGTGTTTTTTTGAATTTAATTAAACACTATACCTAGTATAATAGTGAGGGGCGGAGTGGCTCAACAATTCTTACCGGGCAAACAGATATTTTCAGGCCATTTTTTTCAAATTTAATTTCTTACCATTTATTGTCTTACTGCTAGATGYGTGCTTACMATTTTTTGATTGGGTGAAGTATAAAACAATTTATTTAGCCTACATATTGTTAGAAGATATTATAAATTTATTATCATACACATTTTATATTCTTCCTAGCTTCTATTGTAAAGTAGGTAATAGGTATCAACCATAAAAATGTTTATTCATTATAATATCAAGTA